CTCTGTGCCCAACCCTGACCACACATGACCATGTGACCATGTCTGTAGTTTGCAGAAACATTTCATGCCCACATTTCTTCTGACGCCACGCCTTTGTTCTGACAGCTCATTATGAAGTCACCCAACAGTCTGAGAAATGTCCCATTTCTACAAAAAGCCTGTTTGTCCACAAAACGAACTCCCATTGATTTTTTTCTGAGCTTTCACACCGCGACTGAAAGCATCAACCAGTCACATTGTGCAGAACAACAACAACAACGCAGAGGCTCCGTGCTTGAACCGAGACAGCAAACTTTATAACTACTTTGAACCTTGACAAAGGCAGCACACATGAGATCGACTCCTCCTGCTCTTACCTTTCACAATAAAAGCCTTAAAGGGATAGTGCACCCAAAAATGAAAATTCAGCCATTATCTACTCACCCATATGCCGAGGGAGGCTCAGGTGAAGTTTTAGAGTCCTCACATCACTTGCAGAGATCCAAGGGGAGAGGAGGTAGCAACACAACTCCACCTAATGGAGGCTGACGGCGCCCCAGATTCAAACGTCCAAAAACACATAACTGAAACCACAAAATATCTCCATACTGCTCGTCCGTAGTGATCCAAGTGTCCTGAAGCCCCGACATAAAAAGTTGTTTGGAAAAACATCATTTGAACTCTGTTGTTAGCCTCATTGTAGCCTGTAGCTCTGACTGCCTCTCTGGGCACCGAGCTCACGTGTGTGCACTTGTGCGAGACCGTGAGACATGGGCACCGCCTTCATGTGTGTTCACGTGCTTTTGCTGGTCTCGCGTGCAAGCAATAGGTGGAGTTGTGTTGCTACCTCCTCTCCCCTTGGATCTCTGCAAGTGATGTGAGGACTCTAAAACTTCACCTGAGCCTCCCTCGGCATATGGGTGAGTAGATAATGGCTGCATTTACATTTTTGGGTGCACTATCCCTTTAAGCCCAGTATCCACTGTGTGACTCTGGTCTGTCCCAGGCTAAAGACGACCAGCGGTAAAGAAACGTGGCGATATCTTTGGTGGTGGCTCTAAAGCGGTGGTCTATTTTCAGATATCTTATTATTTTTTTCCGGGCATTTCACTAACACTTTGTTCAGACATTTTAATAGTAGTTTTAATCATACTTTTTTAAAACATATTTACATGTAACGTTTTTTTAGACAGTTTAATATTTTTACGTTATACATTTTATTAGTCTCGCCACCAGACAATCAGAGATCTCCGCCTTCTGATAGTCTGGGGACACTCCTTTCTAAAGTGTGTTTAACACACCGGCGAAAACGGCCGGCAACAAAGCAACGCCTCTTGCATTTTTGAAAAGGACACGCCTTCTTGGAAATGTGCGCTCCTCCTTTTCTCGTCTGCAAGGAAACAAACACACAGAGAGCTTGAAAATGGATGCCGAGAGATTTAACTCCGTTTTATCCAACGTGTGCTCATCTGTGAAGAAAATATTTTTTCCAGCGGATGTCTTAGTTACAACATGATTGAGCTAACTGGAGTAGTTTCATGTCGTATCCGACAACGGGAGGCTTTTAACAGATGACGTCCTGATGTTAGCTTTGCTGCTGCTGTTAGCTGTCCCTGTCAGCTGCAGCCACTGATGCTTTCTAGACATCGTGATTTCCCAAAACTGAATAAATACCACACATAGCAACACAAAACTGCTTTGCTAGCTCAATCATGTTGTAACTAAGATATCCGCTGGAAAAGATATTTTTTTCACGGACCGTTTAATGAGTTATTACCTATTACAGACACCGCTAACGGCTAACAGCTAACGGTTAGCCCAGCTAAACGTGCACACAGAAATAGTAATGTTTGTTCAATCATTGTGTTTGTAGACTTTACAAACATCGGATTAGTCCAAACGGTGATATAGTGATGTGAAAAATGTGATATATAGGCTATATATATATATATATATATATATATAGCTAAAAGCTCTGCTGGTTTTCTACCCGGAAGTATTTGTAAACAACAAGATGATTCCCTCTAACGTTATAGTCCGGCCGGACGGATGAGTCATGGCCTTGTAAAAGATTATGTTTGTTTCTTTTAGTTGGCGAGAATGTGTCGCTGCAAACGCGACAAACATCCACTAACTTTGATGGGGTTTTCTGCGAGCACGGCTGAGCCATTTTGAACCGCTACACGTGTTTCTAGTGGGACTATGTTTATGAGCACAAGAGTTCAGCGAGCCACCGAAGGACCGCCCTGCAGATTTACTATTGGTTCTGCAACGTAGGGAGTTTTTTTAAACTCTGAAATTGTATCCGCCCATCTAAACACAAAATCAGGGAGAAAGTCATCAGTCTTTAGTTAAGCAAAGCGTCTAACATTTATTAACCTTTTTTTTATTTTTTGAACGTGTCATAAACATTTTCACAATGTTTTCTGACATTTTATCAACTTTTTTTGAAAATATTAAAAAAAAAAAATCCAGACGATTCAATAATATTTTTTTTAATGTTTTATCATCACTTTTTCAGACATTTTATTAATGATAATAATTTTATTAATCTAATAATGTTGTGCTTCACAGTTGGAGAAGTAATAACTGTCGTAGCCTGTGGTTCAGCGGCGCTGTCATCGTACAGTCTGCAGACATCAAACCTGATGTCGTGTCGCACAGTGGAGCTGCACTGAACTTATAAGACTGATAAAACCTCACAGCCTGTGGGAGGCTTTAGATACACTCTGACGGGCTCTGATTTTACAGCAGCTTCAGTCATATGACCTCAGCCTGACAGACGCTGCTCTGGGTCAGTGTTTGCACCTCTGCCTCCTCAGAAGGACCTGAAACTGCTATCGTTATTTTTTTCTGGCGAATGAGCTGCTACGAATCTTTTCAAAGCTTTGATGGAGTAAGTGTTGAAGCTGCCACAAATCTGCATCGCTGCCAGTACGAATAGTTTTGATGTAGAATATTTGCAGGCAAGTATTTTGTTTTTTCATGTTGTTAGTGTGTCGTTACATCAGCTGTGAAGAAATGTTTTCATGTCATCAAACAGTCACAGTTGTGGTAAACAGCAGCTCTGAGTCACTTCTTCCTCACAAAAACATGAAGTCACCAAACTCCAAATCTTTTGATTTAAAACTGTCGTACAGACACCGTGTCTCCATCTCGTATTTAATCGTCGTCTTGTCGTAAATTCGGCACTAAAAACTAAACACATCAAACTTCTCATTCCTGCTTTTTGTGTTGCCTTCTCTGCTGAGCGTCCAGTGTGTCCACGTTAGTGTAAAGAACAACATCTGTGACAACAAACACCAGGAGCCGACTGACGGCAGATTAACCCAGAACACAGTGTGACGTGACATCAGCTCCCACAGAGCTCGTTAAGACTTGTTAGGGGTGATTAGACAGCTGACAGCCAGGAACACCATCAAACGTCTCTGTAGTGTTTTTAAAGTATTATTGAGTTTTAGTTTTGTATTTGTGCCAACGTGTGTGTGTGTGTGTGTGTAATGAAACGTGTTTTCAGGCCTGTGTTTACCAGTCAGGTGTGTAGGAGTGTGTGAGTGTGTGTTAAACGTCTTTTCCGCTGCTCCTGAATGTTTGATGGGCGGGGAGTGGCGGGCCCTGCCTCATGTATCTTTAAAGGAAAAGTTACCCAGGCGTTCTCTGAGCTTTGTTCTGCCTTTAGCTGGCCTACTTTAAACTTTGCTCCAACAGCAGCAGAGAATCAGAGGTCGACTCCACCGACTGCTGTAAACAAGGTTTTCACACCTCTGAAGCACAAAATGTGGCGAAGACGTGAGCGATTACACACAAACGTTTCAGACGACAGGTTTCATTTCTTTTCTGTCCAGTAAAAAAATCTCCTCCTTCTTTAGTTACATCAACTCTTTAAAACCTCTCAGATCAGCTGGAAAAGTCACAAAGCTGAAAATCAGTACGTGTTTCTCACAGGACACACACACACGATGGTCTTATAGAATATGACGCGTTGCTGGAGATTAAACTACAAAGTTACAGCGAGCACAGCCGTACACATCTGGTGCCATGCCATTATTTTGACAGCTCAAACTTCTGAAACCCAGTTAGTCCGAAAAAATGTCCCATTTGGTTTCAGTTTGCAGGCTGCGTTTGAGCCACAGGCCGCTGCTGTTTTTACTGACCTTCTGCAGGGTTTCCCATCGGTGTTTGAGCCACCAATCAAGGCGGGTTTCTGACCCTTTGCATCATTTTCCAGCACCAATTCAGGTGTTTTTAACTGACCCTTCGCCATTTTTCCAGCAGTGTTTTTCTGACCCTTCACATCATTTTTCAGTGGTGTATGAGCTACTGATACCGGGTGTTTATACAAATTCTTCGTGGCATTTCCCAGCAGTGTTTGAGCCACTAATCCTGGGAATATTTACCAACCCTTAGCAGTGTTTTTTCCAGGCGGTTTACCAACCATTCACAACATCTTCTGCCACTGGTCCTGAGTGTTTCAATCAGTCATCAATCCTTTGCGGTGTTTTCCAGCATCATTTCCCAGCAGTGTTTGAGCCACTGATCCTGAATGGTATTACCAACCAGTTACAGCGTTTATAGAACCAAAGGAGCTTCAAAGTTTTGGCTGCAGGAACAATAGACTATCTTCAAGCAACTACAGCAGTAAAATGCAACACACACATCAATGCAGCAGTAATGTTCATTTGAAAACATCAATTATAACAGAAACACTCAGAGGGAACATTTTACTGCACCTTTACTTTAACTTCTTTAAGTGCACTTACCTGATTACTTGAACTAAAGTAAGGTTTTGGATCAGGACTTTTACGTGTAGTGGAGTATTGTCACACTGTGGTATTAGCACTTTTACTGCAGTGAAGGATCTGAATACTTCTTCCACTGCTGCTCGAGTCCCAGTGAGAAATTTTACACACCCCCAACAAACAGTTTGTAAACTCTGTCGCCTCTTTAGAATTTTAAATATAGTTATGAAATCACATACTAAAGATCTCAACCAAAAACTCACCGTGACAGGAGTGAGGTGGAGTCTTTCTTAGAAGTAATGCTGCAGGTTGTGAACACGTTTCTTCTTCATGGACTCGGGGGATCAGAAGGAGGACACACTCGATGTAAAGCTGCACGTCGGCCTGTGATGGAGGAGGACAGAAGGAATCAGCAGGATGTTGAGGTTCAGATATGATATGAGCACTTGTGTCAGTCATCTATAATGCAGCAGCTTAAATACACACAAAATACTAACAGGAGTGTGTGTGTGTGTGTGTGTGCAGCGTCAAAGTGTGTAATATCCAACCCAACAGGCAGAGTAAATGTTGCCGTACATTTCTGCAAACCGCAGACATGTTACATTCATACGCTGACATGTTGCAGACAAACAAACAGACTGAACTTGTTCATGTTTGGTTTGATTTAGGCACAGAAACATGTTTTGGTCTGAAATACATGCTTTGTGTTTCACTACCTGTTAGAAACCTCATGATGTCTCAGGTAAAAAAAAACAGTAGCTTTTCATGGCACTATCCTGTTAGGAAACGTAGCGATGGGTCGATAAAAAACACCCACATGTGGTGTCTGAATAACATCTGGAAACAAAGCAATGATTCATTTTTTAAGTAGCACTTAAAAAACAACCAGTCCTGTTGTGTGGTGGCCTTTCACAGAGGTCTGCAGCTCGGCAGGCATCTCACCAAGGTGTCCTGCCATCCTCCACCTCCTGATGACAAAATCAGCTCATAAACTACGTCACTTTATAAACGTTGATACGATTTGAAAATTCCAAAAGTAACGCATCTGTGTTTTGCAGAAACGTCCAGTGGCAGCGTTTCCCTCTGGTGACTGGACTGTGTCTTCTCACCTGTGTGCGTAATCAATAAATAATCCCTGTGCACAGTGACAAAGATTTATTTATGAGTGTTTTTCTAACGTGTGTGTTCGTTCTCTCGTGATTAATCTGGATATAAATAATTCAACTCTACATATACAGCGTGACCACAGCTCATAATGTTTGGTCAGCCAAACAATACAAACACCACAGTTATGAAATGTAATTTAGTCACAATAAAACCACACTGACAGCACAGAGTCGCCTCTCAGGACAAAGCCACATCTTTTAAGGTTTTAGCTGAAAATATTCAGGTTTGGTACCTTAAAGAGGCAACAGAGCGCATCTTTTCCTAAATATATCATTATGAAAATAATGTGTGTTGCACAGGGTAGTGTCCACAGTAAAATCAGACTATCAGCGTTTACATAGGTTACTTAGTGGCTTTGCAATCTTTGCAATAAGCTTCTGCCACCAGTGCCGAATTTTGCAGAAAAAAATCTGCTTTACGAAAGGAAATGCGTCATGTATTGTGAAACTGGTCGGTCAGCCAATCAGGGACTGGAGCTGGTCCTTATGAGGAGTTGGGCATGAGATAGTTGAGTCACGAGCACAATGGCAGACGGACAAAGTTTGGAGACAAGTGAAAAACGGCCTAGCAAAAGAAAAGGAGCTCCTCTGTGTGAGGAGGCAAAGAAGAGCAAAAAGGAGAGTGATAAAAGAAGAGGAAAAACAAGAGTAAACCTCAGTCAGGCGTTCAAGAGATGGAGGGAGCTCCGTGACCAAAGAGGCTTCAAAACCCATGTCCAGCTAGCTTTCTTTCTAATGGATCAGTAAGTAACACGGCTAAATGTTAGCTAGACCAGAGAGGACTGTACTGTACTGGCTGCTAGTTCATTCCTAGCTGGCCAGCATCGCAAATCGCCGCAACCAGGGAGCGGGTAGCGAGTGTTGGTCGGCTGACATCCTGGTTGCCATTCTACGGCAGCCCTCGGACAGTGATACCCCCCTCCCTTCCTTCTGTTCTCTTCTCACGGAGGCAGCTATCCACGGACATCGCCCAGCTAAGTTACGCCCAGCTAAGTGAACACTGGACTTTGTTTCCCATTCAATTAGAGCTCCAACCGGCCGCATGGTTTCCATACGGTAGTGTTTATTCTAGAATGGGGACTGTTTACATGTGCATACTGGTATAATTCCACTGTGTCTACTGTTGTTTGTACTGATACTGTACATATTGGTATCATTTACTGTGAGCTGTTTGTACTGGTACTGTGCATTCTGCTATAATTATTTGTATTACTATTTGTTTTTTCTTCAGATAAATCTGATAATTGTTGCTCGGTCTCTTTACTCATTTATTTAGTAGAGTGTCAACACACCTTCTCATTCTACATATACATAGAGGTATACTGGTGGCTTTACAGCCTACATTTTATTCATTATCTCTGATCCCCACGCTCAATTTGGTCGTTGCCACAGTGCGACGCCACACCACTGACGCTAGGTGGCGCCAAGCTAAAAAAAAAACAGATTCCTTTCTGTTGCCTCTTGTGTTTAGTTTGTAGTTGCCGTCCATTTTAGTTCCCCTTTGTGTATTACTGGGTTTGGCTGCCACTGTATCTGCTCGCTCGTGTGTCCAGATCAGTTTGTTCAGTTAACACCTTGTTTAGTTATTATGATGAGTACAGTTATGTTGACCTCTACAGGTCGACTTTTTCATGTATTGTTTTTTGGTAAATAAAAACCCGTGATTTTGTCAACAACTTTGTCAGCTGTGTCCTTTTTGCCTCACTGCTTAGTCCCTAGTCTCTATATACAGAATGTAGAGTCTGTAGGCAAACCCCGGAGATCTTGCCTCCAGAAGAAGAGCAGAAGAGCCCTGGTTTCCGGTTGTAGGCTGTTTGTAGTCCGCTTGATATCGATCAATCATGTTTGAGCCGGCTGCTGTTGTTAACAGGTTAAACGGTCCGTGCGGTGAACTAACGAGGCGGAACATAATTGCCGTCACTGCAAAATCCATCGCAATGGTTCAGCATATTTACTTATATATAAACGGAAGTCGGAAACGGAAATTCGCCTCCTAAAGCCAGAATGCCAAAAAATCAGGGGTCTGCCCCCAGAGGCTGTATCGCCGTCTGTCGGAAGTCAGACGCCGAATAGAGAACACTGGTGTCTAAAAAGCCGCTGAAACAAAGTGATGACTCGCTAAAAAACAACCGGCTTTGTTGTTTGCTGGTGTTGAGCAGTGTCTGCAGCTTAGCAGGCATCTAAGGCAACACACCCTCCACCTCCTGATGATGAAGTCAGCTCATATACTGCGTCACTCTATAAACAGATATGATGCGTATGAAACATAAACATGTAACATATTGCTGGTTTGCGGAGACGTGCAATGTCACATTTTCTCCTGGCGACTGGACTGATGAGTCTGAACCTTCAGCCACAACTGATCAATACAGGCTGATCAGTGGAGGACACCTCACAGGATCTAACAAGAAACCATCTGGCAGTTTGCAACAACTAAAACAAAGATATCACAGGTGACAGAAACCAGCCGGCAGTGTTGGAATATAACTGAGTACATTTACTGAAGTACTGTACTCAGCAGTAAGTACAAATCTGAGGTACTTGTACTTCACTCGAGTTTGTTCCTGTCATGTCACTTCCTCCGTCTACTCCACTGCAGTTATGTGACGGCTGTAGTAACTTTACACGTTAAGATGTTGCACACAAACATGAGTCACGCTGTTATTTTACTGATTATACTCACACACATATACTGAAGGAACATTGTGAACACAGGACAGAGTGTTTTGACACTGTGGTATCAGTGCTCTTAATGCAGTGACAGGTGACAGGAGTACTTCCTCCATCACTGCCTGTCATTACAGACACATATGCAGCTGCGGCTCCTCCACTACGTTTATTTTCTTTCATTCACACGGCCATAAAACACACACAGCAGATTTCAACCCGCTTCATTACACAAACAACATTCATATTCTCCTATTGTGTGTTGCAGGTTAAATATTTTATTATCGGGACGTCCCAGCGGCCCCCTGAATCTTTAAACACAACCTTCATAATTTATATTCACTGATCAATAAACCATAACAGTTTTATATGGATCAAACCAGCAGTGTGATCACAGCAGAGCCGGGAAATCAGGAGTGATAGGAGCTGGCCACACACACACACACACACACACACACACACACACACAATAGCATGGATGTGTGTGTGTTTGTTACCTGAATAATTTATACTCGGGGTAAACTGGCACAGGGTTATTAACAGTGAAGCTACACACTCAGATGTACACACTCAAAAGACAAACAAACTTAATCAAATGTAAATATTGACAATATTTACATTATTGTTTTTAATGATTAATGAAGGTCGTGGTGAGTTCATGGACACATTTACTTTAAGATAAAACTTTCTGCCCTTTCAAACTCAGATATGATGCGATGACCTCGGAGGAGACAGGAGTTATTAAAAGGTGAGTAAATAAGTAAAAATGTGTTTTTATGCTCCTCATCAGAGCGGCGACATCGTCTCATGACAGAGGATTCTGTATCTATACATCAGGGGCGGTGGAGTTGTACACATGAAGTTTCTCAGACTTTTTAAGGGTCTAGAGGACGTGGGGCCCTCATGCCACCCTCATGGAGTCTGTTTCTGACAGTGTGGTCAGAAACATGCACACCAGTAGCCTGCTGGAGGTCATGTTGTAGGGCTCTGGCAGTGCTCCTCCTGTTCCTCCTCACACAAAGGAGCAGATAGCGGTCCTGCTGCTGGGTTGATGCCCTTCTACGGCCCTGTGCAGCTCTCCTGGTGTAACGGCCGGTCTCCTGGTATCTGGTATCAACCTGATTGGGCTGCAGGTGCCGCCTCATGCTACCAGCAGTGCCAAGGACACTAGCAGAAGACCAAACTAGAGAAGAGTCAGTCAGGAAGGATAAGGAGAGAGCAACTGTCTGTGGACACCACATGTAAAACCAGTTCCTGTTTGTCTCTTTGATTTGACCCAAAGCAGCTGAAACTGATTCACAGTCACTGGATTGAAGTTTGACTGACTTCCTGTCAGACTGTGACTAATAAGGGTTCCCTTCAGATTTCTGAGCAGTGTATTATGTTTGGAGAGTTGTACAGCACGTATACTGGGACACAGGTGTATCAAAAAACTTCAGGTAACACTAGCCCCTTTTACACTGCCAGATATTTGGCGAATGTTGGGCCGTTTTGTCGGCAAGCTGCAAGCGTTTAGACATACAGAGCCGGATTGGCGAGTTGATCTGAGGT